GTTGAGGGCGAGGAGCTGTGATACATGATACGAGGCGAGGTTGAGGGTCAGAAGCGGTAACACATGACACGAGGCGAGGTTGAGGGCGAGGAGCTGTGATACATGACACAATGGAGGAAAATAAGTGTTTATGTAACGAGAGAAACAATAAACAGGATCATGTGATATAGAAGAATATGAGAAAGACTGTTAGAGGGAGAGGAAAAAAGTAAGAAAAGAAGAATGGTTGGAAATGTTAAGCAACGTAACATAGCTTCAGGTGACGTTATGTGGGTTAACAATATCATTAAATAAGTACAAAATGAAGATGTAGAGAAAACGGAAGAGCATATATTGATATATATGAATATGAAGTACTAAATATAGGAGATAGGGAAAATGAAGACAAACACAGGGAAAAGTAAGTAAAACCTTAATGGCTTTATAGTGACCATAGACAGCACAAACATTCCAATAACATTAGTAAGATCGGAAACAGGGCTCCAAACACTTTTAGCAAGACAGACATAAGACTGCTCATTAGTTTACATGAGCAGCAAGGTAAATATACGAGAGGCGGAAGTCCATTCATGCACCAGGAACGTCACGGCATCAGAGTATTAACACCAGTAACTTCCCTTGTCAGCAGAATCCCAACTAGAACAATTGCAGCATAGTAATAACCACTACGCCATACATCATCCACACTCTTAATGTTGATAAATTTTAATATGTGATACTATACATACATTTTGGGTTGTACAAAGTATGTACACAATTAACGGTCTAGCAAGAACTAGGTTAAAAGCTGTACCCAAGACGTTTGGTCGTCGGGACAAAAACATTGTCAAGCTCTTACTACCAGTGTCACTCATGTCTGCCTCATTATCTGTTTGTTTAAGGCCAATCTTTTGCTCTGGAAATTGTGGGCCATCAGAGCAGCTGAGGGCGTGACACACGACCCAGAAGCGCAAAACATTCTCTGGCAAACGAATTTGCTTTCAAAAATCTCAAAAAATTACCAAGCATTGTTTTTTTTTTGGGGGGGGGGCTGTTTGGTATAACGAAATAATAGCCACTCTTACTTAACTGTTGTGGATTGATTATTACTGTACAAGAGAGTCAGTGGATAATACCTAAGGCAGTCAGTTCATTGAGTTAATTTTAGCTTGACCAGTCCAGTTTTAAGACTGTAAAATTGCTGGATCTTCTTTAAGAAATAGAGAAAAGATGACAATAAAGATCATCAAGACTGATAAGTATAAAAGAAACAACAATGATGAGAATAACAATTAAATGATGGGAAGAACTGATTGTTCCCACGCGCGTTAACTGTGTATCTCCCGAGCGTGTTATGGGCTGTACCGTTCACTGCCCTTAGCCTTACCTATCTATCATTGTATTTAAAAAGAAAATGCTCAAGTGATATACAGCTCAATTAAAGTAGATTTTACAAAGAAGATTGTGACCATAAGACTGGGAGAGATAAAGAGGAAAAAAAAAAGAAATGTGGGAAAAATATTGATATCAGCTTATTCAAGAGAAAAATACATTATATTCAAAAGTTTTAGTCGTCGCTCTCAACTGATTAAGCCATATTTATAAAAAGAATTACGACATCTTAATCAATGAATAAAATCATTCCACTAAGCGGTTGTCAAAATATACTCATAGTGTAACATGCTTCTTCACAAACACATCCGCAAAAATATACTAACTCTCGAAAGGAAATGCAGAATGTATACGCAGAATATCACCCCCTGGACCCACATGTCAGGTGTTCATCATCTCAACTCGGCAGTCTTAGCTAGCTAGAACATATACCTGTTATTCTAAGACATCCCCGATACTTCCTCTCGGTGCTCATGGTCCTCAAGTACTCGTGCTCAACTGGGTTATCCCCTCCTTGTACTCTTGGTCAGCTGGGTACTCCCTCATAGTACTCTTGGTCAACTGGGTACCCTGAATTAGTACTCTTAGTCAGCTGGGTACCCCTCTCCTAGTACTCTTGGTCAGCTGGGTATCCACTATTAGTACTCTTGGTCAACTGAGTACTCCTCCTAGTACTCTTGGTCAACTGGGTACTCACTCCGAGTACTCTTGGACAACTTGGACAACTGGGTACCCCCTCCGAGTTCTCTTGGTTAACTGGGTACTCCTCCTAGTACTCTTGGTCAGCTGGGTACCGTTTGCATAGCTTTGCATGCCGAGAAACTGAATCTGACTTTTGATTAGTGAGGATGCCAGATGAAAGCACTAAATCCTGGCATATAAAGCTCATGCAGTTTAATAAGTTCGAAAATTCAGTCAAATGGTGTTTTTGTATCGATTTCACCAGGCGATTGGCAGGAAAATTTTCCACCCAAATCACTTTCTACAGTAAATTCCATTTGAGATTTTCCTTGTATTGGAAGTTTGTCCAAATATTAGTCTCCCTCCTTACCCTCACCGTTCCGTGTCTGCGGGGCTAGACAAAAATTTACACACACACACACACACACAAAACCGAGTAACAGTAGCAACAAAGTACCTAAAACTTCATCAAGGACCAGAAAATGTGAATCACACTGAGTGCTTTTTGCGCCTGGTGCTGGGTCATGGTCGCCGCTGGTGCCGAGCAAAAATGTCAAAGTTCCAGTGAATCATGGCAGCGTGTGCCTCGGTTCATATCATTTAGAACAGAAGCTGTTTTTTTTACGTCGTTTGTCTATAATTAGCTCAACTTTGTCATCGGACTTAGGAGACGCATGCGTGCACAAGAATATTTTGGTTGTAATAGGATGAGTGTTTTGAGGAGATTCATCATTGAAATGGTGACTCATCTCTTGAATTTCCATAAATTTGCTGCCTATGACGATATTGGTGAGACCATGATAATATCCTTTACTTCCCCTGGGATCTCAAACATGGTTTAAAATTCTCCTGTGGTATGGGGTTTTGATCAAATTTATTCATTGTAATTTTTTTTTGGATTATTCATTTTCTTACAATGGTTTTTGTATATATATATATATATATATATATATATATATATATATATATATATATATATATATATATATATATATATATATATATATATATATATATATATATATATAAGTATGCAAAAACCATTGTAAGAAATGAATAACAAAAAAAAAGTGTGAATTACACGAAAGCGCTTGGAAACTTCGTGTTTTCTTCTTTCCTTGTGGTTATCAGCATATACCTAGATCACGCGCACCCACAGTGATTTGCTTGCATACACACACACACACACACATATATATATATATATATATATATATATATATATATATATATATATATATATATATATATATATATATATATATATATATATATATATATATATATATATATATATATATATATATATATATATATATATATATATATATATATAATCAGGCATTTCACGAAATTACTGAAAATTTTTAGTCAATTAACGAAATTAATGTTTCATAGAAGTTAGGCTAGGTTAGGTTAGGTTAGCTTAGGCTAGGTTAGGTTTGGCTCAGATTAGGTTAGGTTAGGTCCTAACCTAACCTAACTTGAGTTAAACATTCAATAAGAAAAATTAAATTTTAAACATTTGAATGTTTCACTCAAGTTTAGCCAGGTTAGAACCGAACCTAACCCAACCTAACCTAACCTAACTTGCATGAAACATTAATTTCGTTAATTGACTAAAATTTTCTGTCATTTCGTGAAATGCCTAGTTACGCTTCTTGACTGTAATATACACAATAACGGGGACTCTGCATGACGTGAAGGCCGTTTGGTATATCAATCAATATATGGCCATCGTTACACCATAAATTTAGCTGCTCACCAGCCCCGGAATGAAACCGATAGTTTGCAGCAGTCCAGCTGATAACATCAGGTCGTGCACTTCACTTGCCATTCCAGACCTGAAGTGCTAGACAACTGTACTCTCGGGGGAGTGCTCGTTTGACTCAACAACGTCAGCCAGGATGATGACTGACAAGTTATGAAGACGTGTAGCTCTTCCCCCACACTATAACTCACTCATGTCACTAGGCACTTCTTTGAGATATCACTATCTCTTTCAAGTGTGGTATGCACCCGTTGGGGTGGGAAACAAAATAAATATTATACTTCATTCTACGATTCCAACGCTTTTTCCATAATTCTGATGGAGCATCCTGGTATTGACTCCGTTATCCTAAGATTTCTTGAATATAGACGAAAGCTAAGGTGCTCCATTGTTTCCCTTTTCCCTGTGTGATTTTATCAAGATTTATCTTGTCCACGTTTTCATTGTGGATCTACATGAAATATATATATATATATATATATATATATATATATATATATATATATATATATATATATATATATATATATATATATATATATATATATATATATATATATATATATATATATATATCATTGGAAACAACGAGCCTTATTCTTTATTCAAGATATCTTCAGAGACATCTTCTGAAGATGTCTTGAATAAAGACGAAAGCTAAGGTACCGTTGTTTCCATTTTCCCGTGTGATTTTATCAAGATTTATCTTATCCACGTTTTCATTGTGGATTTACATAATATATATATATATATATATATATATATATATATATATATATATATATATATATATATATATATATATATATATATATATATATATATTACTGAAGGAATTATAAATCAACTGGGGTACAAATAAAAAGTTGTGGGCTATATTCCACACTTACAATAATCTGTTTTATAGAAAATATAAGCGAAATAGAAAACAAGAAGGGAGCAACCTCGGAAAAACAGGTTGTAGCTACCGAGTACCAAAACAAAACATGGAAATCACTACAAAAAGAGACAACTAACAGATAATAGGACAGGAACTCCAAGAAATTGGTAAAAATGAATATAAGTTGGATCGACAATATATGTTACTATGCACACGTTGCGCACATGCTGGGCTCAGTACTACTTCACGCTATTAGTGACACTGCAAAATACAGTACTATTTAGTGTGTGAACTTACTCCTCTAGTGGCGACACGTTGGAGCCAGTGGGGTCCAGGCGGCCGTCTCTAGAAAGTTGACGGAATGGAACGTTGAAATATGGATGTAGAAGATGAAGAGGTGCAAGTGATAAATGGTAATAAATTTTCAACAAATGGACTGCTTGGGTGTATTCACAAGGTCAGTGCAACTGCTGGTATATAAGAATATGATCCATTTGTTAACTTTCTTACCACTTCTCTTCACATCGTGTGACTAGTTTTACTCGAACAGTGAAGTATACTGTATATCGTGCATGTCAGATATTCTGTATGTACAATACATTGTACCTGGAACGTCAATGTGGCATTTAAAAACTCATGCACTGTTAAACAAATGCTAATCAAGAACTCCCCCAACATTACAGGTGGCTGCATTTATAAGGTTCCTTGCAAGGAATGTAATATGTTTTACTTAGCCCAGACAGGTAAAGATCTTGTAACTAGACTTAAACAACATAAATATAGTGTTAAGACAGGCCAGGAATCCAATGCTCTGTTTGTTCATTTGAGGGATAATAAGCATTGCATTGACTGGGATAATGCCTCCTCAATATTACCTTGTAATTCAATTGACAGTAGGAACATTATAGAATCTAGTCTCATTAAACATACCGAATCCGTCAACATGAATTTGAGTAATGGTATGTACAAACTGGATAATTTCGTAATTAAGAAGATTTGCAACCAGGTGAGAAGGTTGGGTCAGCTTACCCTCTGACCAGACTGCTGCGGTGCTTTTTGAAGATTAGTAGGGTCATTACCTAATACCTGTCGTCAGTAGCTGGTTATAGTTTCAATGAGTGTTTGCGATCACCGAATGTTAAATATATAGACCAGGAGCCCAGGGGGTTTTATTCATGTGAAAGACGCCAAAATATTTGGCTTCATGGGCCGAAGGCACCCTCACCCGACATTCCAAAAATGGATTGCTGCCGGGTCTGGGGAGTGGATTTGCCCCTGAAATCATCCCTGAAAGTTGATAAAAAGTGGCATTTATTTAACGGAAGAGCACCAAGGAAAAAACCGGTGTCAAACCTTTCCTTGTGGTCCACTGAGTGTGAAATGACCAATGATAGTAATTTTAGGTGTGGCTTCCCCCCACCAGCATCACCCAATTCTTGCACTATCCCTTTATTTTAATGACCACTAATAACTAATGAGTAATTCACCCATTTAAAGTGTATAATTTTCTATGATTGACGCCCCAGTACATTTTCAGTGAAAACGTTTGTTTACATTTTTGAGGCAATGCGTGCAATGCAAAACTGTACGCCTACTGCATTAATATCACATTGATACACAGTCAAACCTTCCTTTAACTAACCTCTTTTTAACAAAATCCTCTACAGTCTATATAAAGGAAGGCCTATGCATAAAAAAAAATAAAGGAAATCACTCAATAAAGGCACCCTCTGTTCTGAATTATTTAGATTTAGAGAGAGGTTTCACCGATTGCATTTGGGGCCATCCAAAATACAAGAAAAGTATAAACAATAGATATACTTTTTAAATCTTTTTTTATATCTCAGCGTGCACCTGGGACAACTATGATGTCAACACTGGAACCCTAGATGGCAAGAACACACTGCACTCAACGGTGGGAATTTGCTATCAGAATGAAGTTACACCCAGCGACATCACCTGCAAGTTCAATAGGGCGCTGACTGGACGGATGTGGCGGTACTTTGATGGGGGTGAAAACATTATTCCTCCTTACCTCACATCTTTGAAACGGGCCCAGTTCAAGGTGACCCCAACCACTGAGGTTATGGAGATAAGCAACCTCCGTGAAAAGGGCCCCGATTTCATATGGCTGATTCATTCCTTCACCCAGAAGTTGCCACTCTTCGCTGGTTTCATATCCCTGTTTGTGGCAGATGATCTCCCTCAAACTGTGATCACATACATGGACCCTATCTCCAGTCACCAACAGAGAACGATGTGGTGCAGGAAACTATGGTGCGTTCACTCAAAGTGGCAGAGGAAACAAACTAGAACTATGGCATCGTAACATATTGTTTGGTTTCTATTCACTCATGGCGGGATAAGTAAACACATACTTGAGGAATTGCTTTGTTGCGAAACTTGTACAGGTGGCGGCAGGATTCAGAGTGACTATCGTATATCATCTAACAAACAAGTCAACTCCTACAAAACATATAAGGAATGTAAACTGTCTAATTCACCACAGTACAATGAAGCATGAGACTATCTCATTCACAACTCATTCGTACGCAGACCACAAGAGGACAGCCCTCGCACCTGGACAAGTCTGATACACACACAAACACACATACACAAACACACATACACCTTGCAGACATCACACACATATGACCTCGCAGTAGTCCTAAAGGCGTACTCAATTCAACCTCTACCGACGTACACTCCATCACAATCACACTAAAATGTATGTCCCTCAATATTGTCAATGCCTATGGCTATGGCCTGGCACTTGACATTATTAGGGACCTGCCACACTTTGCCATAAACAGATAAATTGTACCGGGAAATTTCCCCCCACACACTCATCATTCTGTCACTTTATGTAATTTGCTGACAAAACCCATGACCCTTCAGGCTTTTACGCCCTTAATGCATGAGTCATAAAGGCAAGCATGAACTCCGCATGCTTCCCAGATGGGCACTGTAAACGCTTCTGCGCTTCACCTTGCACAGAATGTAAGGGGGTGTCCAATAAACTAGCCCCCTACGGGGCAATCTAATCTAAAGCGCTACAAACTCCAGCTTTTGATAGACTCATCATATTACTAGGAAACTTCCATCTTGAGCTCGCCTTCTTCGGAACCGTGAGAACATTTTTGGCTGATTCAGGGATTGAATACCTTCTCACTGGAGCATGTATCTTGGCCGAGGGGTAACTTACTGGATTCATGAAGGATAAATTTTACAACATATGCACCAGAATCCACCAAATGATTGCTGCAGTGTTGGGACGAGAGCTCTTCTCTAAGTTTCTTCGTTGAATAGATGAGAAGTAACCCTTGTACAAGAAATGAGGTGCAACAGTAATTTAACTACTAATATTGTGAAACTGTTGTTGAGAATGCCTCATTCCAGAATCTCATGAACATATGAAGACTTCTTCCACGATGCCATCAACGGACAGTATGCATAGCCGCTTACTGGGCCTGCTATGTATACCTCAATAACAGGGTGTATCGATAACTGCAGCGAGCTGTACGCACCAACGATGTTGACCACTACATCCATACCCTCCCAACTGTGATTGAAGTGTATTTCGCTTTGAACTGCCCCAATTACGCAAGGAGGGGGTTCTCTCTTCCTCCACAAACTCAGAGAACTTGATCCCCATGCCCGTGAGATTCTGGAAGCTGGTGCATTCTCCATTCAACGAACAAGTAAATCCTTTGCAAGATGCTCAGTTGACTTGACCTTAGAGCAAACAGTCAACATGGATGCAGCATCTCCCATGAAAGGCATCTCAGTTTTCAGAAACTCTGAGAGCGCCTTCAGAAGGTGGTCAGTCACTCTCACTCAACGTGCCATGGCCATGTCAGAGCTCGGTCAAATGGTTGGTCTGCAAGTGGGAGAGGAACCAACAAATCAGCTGAATAAATGGAGAATTCAGCTGACAATGTTGACATAGATGCCCTTGCCAAGACCCTCAGCTGCACTTGTAACCCATTTGCACCAGATTCTCCAGCTTCCCTTGTTAATATGTCATCAGGAAAGAAATCAAAGGATGACGCAGATAAATTTCTTCTTGACACATTGGTACGTGGCAGAAGACTTCGACTGAAATTTGAAGGTGAGTGTGCATTCGATAGTTCATGATTTCTGAAGACAGTGCCAAGAATCAAGGTGTTGAATTTTGCTGCAGAGAATGTAAATGAGGCAAAATATACATTACGGAGAATAAATGCAGCCGAAGGAGTAAGGAACGTCTTTGGAAGAATCTTGGTTGTTGCAACAAAGAAAAGAGACACACTTAATTTGCAACACATACTGAGTTATTCTATTACTGCAGTGCCTCTCTCTCTTGCTCATAGTGATGGAACTCCCCTGAAGAGAGACAAAGCTATCTTCACAAAAGCACCTGAAAGTAAATTACAATTTGTGCTCATGGATAGTGATCTTCCCCCAATTAAGACCACTATGATTGACGGTGACAACATCCTCCATGAAACTAACTTGAAACACAACTAGTCCACATATGCAACCATGGCCAGGATATTCTAATAAAGATATGTTCCACTTGTGCAGAACAGATCCACGCGGCATTTGACAGGTACCAGTCCCCATCCATTAAAGATTATGTGGGAAATATTCGTGGTTCTGGCATTCGTCAAGTATTTGTCATTACTGGACCTGACCAGGCCCAGAGACAAAGTGGAATGGAGCTCCTCAAAAATGGTTCATTTAAGGAAGAGTTTCGCCATTTCTTTATGGAGGAGTGGAAGAAGCCTCAATATGGGCCAATCTTTGACAGAAAAACCGTGTACATCTCACATGGCGGAAAGTGCATGGAGATGAAAAACAGTGAGGATGAACTGCTACAAACCCTGAAACCCAATCATCTTCAAGGTCGGCATGAGGAGGCAGACACTCTCATTTCATTTCATGTAAAGAACATTGCTACGGGAAATATACTGGTAAGATCTACTGACACAGACGTCCTCATCATTCTTCTTGGGCTAGTCGGAAAGATGGAAGGGCTCAGTATCATCATGGACTATGGGCCGAGCAACCACAGGAGATACATTGATGTCTCGGAAATACAGAAGCTACCGTGATCGAGGAAAAGCATTCTGGGCTCACTGAAGTACTGTTGGGGCCTCATGCCATAACAGGTTGTGATTTTACACCATGCATTTTCAGGAAGGGCAAAGTGAAGCCCTTTGAGCGGTTTGAAGCAAAGGGAGCTAAAAGTCATTTGGCGGTATTGCGATCTCTTACGTCCTGAGATAGTTGATGTTCTAGGTGTTATTAACTTTGTCTGCTCGCTGTATGGGTTCAAAACTTTCAATATAAATGAGGCATGAGTGGTGGTAATGAGAAGGAACCTCTGGCCAAGATCAACTGTGCCTTTTTACCCCAGTGCACTAAGACATTTGGTAATCAAATCAAAAGGGCTCAATTTGTGGCAAGGCTTTGGAAAATGGCTAATCAAACTGATCCGACTGGTAAAGCGAATCCCACAGACTATGGATGAAAGGAAAATCAAAAATTTTTGGAGCCAGACTGGTAGCCAGTTAATTCAGTCCACGAATCCATCACAGACTCTCCTAAGGATAATGTGGACAAAATTAGTGTTCTGTCAGTGGATGAAGAGGAATCAGACAATGCCTGGAATGGGGACAGTGATAGTGATGAAGATGATTTATAATGTACTCAAGAGAGAGTCCAATTGCAGTTGTACATTTTAAGTATATGTACAGTACCATGATAATTATATTATAGTGTTCAGTTAATTTATGTAGTTATTATGAGTAAAAGTGATTCATTTAATAATCGTTGAGAAAGATTACAGTTCAACGTCTCAGTGAGTTTGTATTGTATGCGTTATGTCATTACTGTTGGAGGGTTCAAGTTTATTTTCATGAATTATTTCTTGTATTCATATTGACACAACTGTATTTGTTTTAATTTGATATTAAAGTATTTTTCAACATTAGCTTTGAAATAACGCTCCTGTCATGGGTAACCTAAAATTGCTGTCATTGGTCATTTCACACTCAGTGGACTACGAGGAAAGGTTTGACACTCTTCCATTAAATAAATGCCACTTTTTTTCGTTCTATAGGTGTTGCTGGTGGGAGGAAAGCCATACCTAAAATTGCTGCCCTTGGTCATTTCACACCCAGTGGACCACAGGAAAGGTTTAACACTGATTTTATCCTTGGCGCTCTTCCATTGAATAGCTGCCACTTTTTATCCAATTTCAGGGGCAAAGCCACACCCCAGAACTCGGCAGCAATACATTTTTGGAATGTCGGGTGAGGGTGCCTTCAGCCCATGAGGCCAAATATTTTGGCGTCTTTCACATGAATAAAACCCCCTGGGCTCCTGGTCTATATATTATGCATTCGGTGATCGCAAACACTCATTGAAACTATAACCAGCTACTGACGACAGCACATTTTTACGGGCTCCTTGTTATTTGTGTTGAAGAACCGTATAATAGTTTGTTGAGCGACTTCTTGACACGGCAAGTTAAGGTTTTTGTTGGCCGGGTACCGAGTCACCAGACCGCTCAGCGACGTATGACTCGTGTACGACTCTCTCCAGTAATGTGTTTCTCATGTAGCACAACACCTAATGAGCATTGCAGGTGGGGAGGACATCTCTCAAGCGGTGTTGGCCAAGTGTACGCTGATATTTCAACACCTTGCTTTCATTTTTAATCTTTATACATTGTATAATCTTGTAATTTTCTCGTGGTTATCACTGAAAATGTATCATTAATATCTAAATTTACTCATTGTTGTTCAGGTGACCTACTCCCATTTGCTTAAGGTTATATATGCTTGCCGTAATATAAATAAAGATTTCTTTACAAAAAATACAAGTATCGTCTTCTCTGTTGCTTCTTGTTACCTGTGAACCGTTCCTAACTAATATTCTACTGATTTAATTCTTTTACTGCTAGATGTCGTAAGCTACTTCCAGATTTGTTTTTCTTATATTTTATACTGCTAGGTACTCTAGCCAGCTCCCTTGTATACTATAACGTACCTGTGGTGAGGCTTGATGGGTGAATCAGTGGATTCGAAGGTAACCTCTGGGGATGTGGGGTCGCCCTCGCCTTGGGTGGCTAGCAAAGACTCGTACAACCGTAGTCCCTCTGAGTTAGAGCGTCCCTGCTGGGGTAAAAAAGCTGCTTAATTTTCAACACGAATTCAGGGATAGTGCATGAGAAAAAACACAGGTTTGTTTATTTTCTTTTGGGCATTTTCATTTACAATGTTGTTATTAGAAGGTATTCATATATAAATTTTTTTGACAAATAACGGAATTTATAAAAAATATATTCCGTCTGAGAGATTTGATAGCTGAGAGCTGGTATTTCAAAGGGGTATTGTATTGAGTTAGAATACTAAATTTGTCTAAACACTTAGAAGGAATTCTCTGTTAAAGCTCAAGAAATGAGAAACTATTAGCAAGATATTTTAACAAATTACAACCGATTAGTGTTGACTTGAAACGGGAGATTAACTTTGATGTTAATTTGATATAATTCTTAAGGGTTGATCCAGGGTAAACTCAGGACGCAGCTCAAGAAAAACTAGGCGTGCAACATCGTACGAGACGGACCGTGAATAACTCCGTGACACTGACACTGATGTTGACCCTTGATAAAATTGACCTTGCAATTAACTGTGTGTGACTTTGAGGTTGATTCCGTGTAACACTGACCTTGAGATTAACCCAGTGAAACACCAACCTTGAGAATAATCAAAAATTTTATTAACCTTAATATTAACCCGTGAAACACTGACCTTGACGTTAACCCAGTGAAACACTAACCTTGAGATTAACTCCGTGAAACACTGACCTTGAGATTAACCTCGTGAAACACTAGCCAAAAGATTAACCCCGTGAAACACTAACTTTGAGATTAACCTCGTGAAACACTAACCTTGAGATTAACCCTGTGAAACACTAACCTTGAGATTAACCCCGTGAAACACTAACCTTGAGATTAACCCCGTGAAACACTGACCTTGACGTTAACTCCGTGAAACACTAACTTTGAGATTAACCTCGTGAAACACTAACCTTGAGATTAACCCCGTGAAACTCTGACCTTGAGATTAACCCCTTGAAACACTAACCTTAAGATTAACTCCGTGAAATACTGACCTTGAGGTTAACCCCATGAAACACTGACCTTGTCGTTAACCCCGTGAAACACTAACCTTGAGAATAACCCTGCGAAACACTAACCTTGAGATTAACCCCGTGAAACACTAACCTTGACGTTAACCCCGTGAAACACTAACTTTGAGATTAACCTCGTGAAACACTAACCTTGAGATTAACCCCGTGAAACACTAGCCAAAAGATTAACCTCGTGAAACACTAACCTTGAGATTAACCCTGTGAAACACTAACCTTGAGATTAACCCCGTGAAACACTAACCTTGAGATTAACCCCGTGAAACACTGACCTTGACGTTAACCCCGTGAAACACTAACTTTGAGATTAACCTCGTGAAACACTAACCTTGAGATTAACCCCGTGAAACACTGACCTTGACGTTAACCCCGTGAAACACTAGCCAAAAGATTAACCTCATGAAACACTAACCTTGAGATTAACCCCGTGAAACACTAACCTTGAGATTAACCCCGTGAAACACTGACCTTGAGATTAACCCCGTGAAACATTAGCCTTAAAATTAACCCCGTGAAACACTAACTTTGAGATTAACCCCGTGAAACACTAACTTTGAGATTAACCCCGTGAAACACTAACCTTGAGATTAACCCCGTAAAACACTAACCTTGAGATTAACCCCGTGAAACACTGACCTTGACGTGAACCCTGTGAAACACTGCCCTTGAGATTAACCCCGTGAAACACTAACTTTGAGATTAACCCCGTGAAACACTAACTTTGAGATTAACCCCGTGAAACACTAACCTTGAGATTAACCCCGTGAAACACTAACCTTGAGATTAACCCCGTGAAACTCTGACCTTGAGATTAACCCCTTGAAACACAAACCTTAAGATTAACTCCGTGAAATACTGACCTTGAGGTTAACCCCATGAAACACTGACCTTGTCGTTAACCCCGTGAAACACTAACCTTGAGAATAACCCTGTGAAACACTAACCTTGAGATTAACCCGTGAAACACTAACTTTTTTTTTAGATGACCCTCGAGGGGGTTAGTTTATTGGGCGCCCCCTTACATCCTGTGCAAGGTGAAGCTCAGATGCGTTTAAAACACTGACCTTGAGGTTGACCCCGTACGCTTGGTCATAGATGGGCACGCTGGTTTGGGAGGTGTCTTCCTTTTCCGTGTCTCGTTTCTTCCTCACCACACGCTGGACTGTCAGCTCCTCATAAGGCCCAAACTATGAGGGGCAAAAGATACACGAGTTAGTTGCTGACGAATGGAAGAAAGATCGCGGTAAAATAGTACTGGTACAAGGGGCAAACTGAAGGTCGATGTAGCAATGATATGTGTTTTGGGGCAGAAAGCAAGTAAATTATAGCATATGATATGAATTTTAGGACAAATTTTGCTGAACAACTTGTGTATAATGATAAATAACTTACACAAGGAGATAATAATAGATAGACAATCTATACTAATAAAAGGTCGTATCTATCTGTCTGTCTGTGAGTGTCTGTCTGTCTGTTCCAGCCATAGCTCCAAGACGGAAGTAGTTAGAGAACTGAAACTTTACACAGACTTGTTACATTGTTCCGAAAGATGTGCACCTTGGCATTACTATTGACCACGGACATTCGGATGGTCCGGGCAAGGTTAGGTTAGGTTAGGTTCCCGACTGAGATATCGCCATGTCGATTGCTGGAAGTGGTTACCTGTGTCAGGAAGGGCAAAGTGTGGCAGTTAAGGTTATACTTAACTCGTATGAAGCAGAGCTATTTTGTTAGTGATGAATAACTGACAGATGGGTAATTGAGAGATAAATCAAAGGGAATGTTGCCAGCGCTGCACTCCAAATCCTTTACTTCCCTAAGTGTAAAGTTGGTTATCATTCACAGACTGGCACTTTATAAACTCGAGCGCTTTATTGATATATAAATGTAGGTGAATAAGACAAGTGGTGGCAGATGTAATAGGTAAACTTTTGGTGCGCTCTGCCTTGTGGCTCTCATAATGTTTCACCCGCTAAACAATGATGCAAATATTGTGAATCTGATGTTCAAGCTCACGTGCCCTCATGTTCAAGACTTATATTGTGACTACATATTCACCACCTCGTGTTCTCATGTTCATCAGCACGTGACCACATGTTTATCAGCACGTTGCCACACAATCAGCACCACGTGGCCACATATTCATCACCACATACCATATACTCATCACCACGTTCCATATAATAATGGTTATCCCTCGTGTACGAGAATGGCCGGCACAAGGGCCACCTAGGCGTGAATTTGTTTAAGGTGTAGAAGCTGTCGCCAACATAACAACCACACTCTGAGTTAACGAGCTGAGTGACCCAGTGTCAAGGAATAGTCCGAGAAGACCGGACAACTCGCCAACTGCATTGATTAACCATTACCCCAGAACACGATACGCAAATCGATTAACATCCAGGTTCCCAATTACTGCTGGGTAGACAAAGAGAAATGGCGTACCATATATTCATCACCATGTGTCTTCATGTTTATCAGCACGTGGCTACATATTCATCCGGCCACAATCTTGCCGAAGGTTTAGTCAATTAACATCTACGAGGAAGAGGGTCAACAGTCCAATGGTTCCCAAACTTTTTCCCATTACACCCCTTTGTTTTCTACCAAGCCCTCACGCCCCCGCCCTCATTTTTTAAAAAATTTAATCAACGTATAATCAATTTTACACATTGTACTCGCATTTACATTACTGTTCAAAATCAACTGTGCCGCAATTACTTTATCCTTGAATATCGTGCATATAGGGACGATTGAAATTTACGAAGAAAAAAATATTGATGTTACACAATTTTATTGAAAATTTTCCAATAAAGAAAAGAGAGGTCAACTTTTGTTATGCTCTCTCACACTAGTAAACAAATATTTATCCATGTTATTCTTATAACAATAGAGAAAAGGGAAGCAGAAAACAAAATTTGTTATTGAAGTAAAAAGTGGCTAGTCGTGTGGTAACTGGGGAGACTGGGTGGAGAAGAAATTTTCTTCCACGAGGCCTAACGCCCCCAGGTTTGGGACCACTAGTCAACACTCACCCAAGTATTTTTTGTTCACTGCTAAATGTGTGTGTGTGTGTGTGTGTGTTTTATAATAATAATAATAATAATAATAATAATAATAATAATAATAATAATAATAATAATAATAATAATAATAATAATAATAATAATAATAATAATAATAATTAACAGTTTATTGAAAAAGTTCAGCAGCCCGAAGGCTGAAAATATACATTGGACAAAAATGACTTATTACATACAAAGACATGGGGTAGGTGGCTCGTTTAACAAAAGCTTTCATTACAGGTACTGAAAGGAGAATGAACATGAATTGAACATGCAAATTGTTATAGTTTACAGTTGATGGGCCGGGCCTGGGCTGGTCATTGAAACACCAGATAGTGTGGTGTTCACGTGGTGTAGTAACTCGTCCTCGGGTGATGATATGACGGACATCCGTGGTCATGGAGACATCGGGTGTGGTGGTGTTCACGTGGTGCAGTAACTCGTTCTTGGGTGTTGATATGAAGGACCTCACGTGGTCATGGGGATACCGTGTGGTGTGGAGTGGTGTCACAGTACCTCTCTGCTTGGTGGTGTTGTGTTATCTCGTAGTCAGGTGCATAGCCGGCCACCTGTTGTTCCAGGGTGGAAGGATTAACACCTGGTCAGAGGATTGTTCCCAGGGGTGCTTAGCTCAGTGGTGGGTCACGGTTCCCACTGGTACTGTCAAGTGCTGAATTCACTGGCTGAAACACTGTTCATCACTGTTCAACACTGATCTCACTTCTTTCCGAAGCGAAATTGTCACTTTTGATTATATAGATATCCCGGTGGTGAGGATGGGTCGGGGAGAGGGACTTGAGGAATGGACCAACATGGCCAAGGGGGGGGCCGCTGCTCAGCAGGAGCAGCGCCTGAATAGGTCTTGATCCTACGGTGGTCAAGGATGTAGTGAGTGTGTGTGTGTGTTTTGTGTGTGTGTGTGTGTGTGTATTGTGTGTGTGTGTGTGTGTGTGTGTGTGTGTTTTGTGTGTGTGAATGTGTGTGTGTGTATGTATTTGTGCACAGGGTGGTATAATGCATCTAGTAGGTAGTAGGCAGCTACCAAAGAGGGAGGTACTACCGCCTGGGAAGATATTGGAAGCATAATATGTTGTCTATGGTAGACCCTGCTGCTATATGGCATCACGAAAATTGTGACCAGGTCCAAGGTTGCTGATCTGTCTTTCTGCCCCATTTACACACAATTGCAGGGTCTCAATTGTTTCTCTTACTTGATAACACAACATACACATAGTATTTCTCACTATTGATTTTTTTTTCATTTATGTATTTCTTTGTATTTATTTATTATTATTATTATTATTATTATTATTATTATTATTATTATTATTATTGTTATTATTATTATTATTATTATTATTACAGTGTTATTATTATTATTATCATCACTATTATTTTAATTTACTTTTTATTATAAATTTTATTTACTATGAATTACTGTATTATTATATTATTAATATTACATTTTCGCCCCCCAGGTCCAGATGTGGGTCAGTGACGAACTGAGAAATGCGCAGAGGCCTGACAGTTATAGTATTAGTAGATACAAGTGATCGCGGGCACGTTCGTGTCCAGTGAAAGTTTGAACGCTCGTGCTTGACTAGCGTACAGCGAATGAGGGTGCGCCAAGTCCTTAGACTTGCATCGTTTTCCATCGTAAATAAAATAGTTAATTAATGTCTTCCTAAAGAAACCATCGACATGGGACCATGTTTGTTCCACTCTACGAATTTTTGCGATTTTTCCACCAAGTTTGATGAAAAACGATTGTGCCGTTTCGGCTGCCCAGAACAGACAGACAGACAGACACACGCCTAGTCCTATAGTATATTAGATGACAAATTTTGTGAGAAGAGGTACCGGTATGGCCAGCACAAGGACATAACCAGACAATGTAAACGTTGTGATACATCTTTGAAGTATACACCTGAACATTATAGAGGTATTATTGATTGTGGCAGTGTCAAAGACATCAGGCCACCTGGTTTATTGTATCACGAACTATATAATTACTACATTGAATCAGGAGTCCACGAAGACTTTATTGCAGGCTCTACTAAATTTGCTAGCTCACACTGAGTAGTCCTCAAATAGAACATAACACTAACGAATATGACCCAAATTATATATGAACCACTGTCCTGCGTGGACGTGAACAGTGATATCACCCTCATGAATATGACCTATACTATTGTCTCTTTTGTGTATGAACCTCTGTCCTGCATGGCAGTGAATAGTACCCCTCAGTATCAAGACCTGACTGAACTACTCCCTATACACACGGTTAAATAAACATTTAAATAAACAAAAACTATTCAAAGAAAAAGAAAAAGGATTTACTTTTACAATAATGCTTAAACTGAAAATATTAATCTCATCTTGAAGACAAAGTAATCTTCACTAAGGTTATCGCCCTAAAAAACTGTAAACAAACATAATCATCACAACAGCTCATGGGAAGGCTCTGTCCTTTATCTTATTATAAACAAGATAAGCCAGTCAATGATAAACATGAGATTTGTAATATAACTGAACCAAGACATTATCCTAAGCTTCATGAACAAGAGAACTAAAGTTAATCTGATAATACTTGTTGACGACTCACAAAATGGGATAGCCAGTGTTAATTTATCTATATTTTTAGTGTGTATTTGTGTGTATCTACAAACAAGTGTGTGTGTGTGTGTGTGTGTGTGTGTGTGTGTGTCCTCCACCGTCTTGGTCTTGATGGGGGTATTCGGGCGTCGTTTGGAAGGAGCTTCACCTTGCCTCAAAACCCCTGCTATACCTCCTCCTTTCACTACCTTACACACATTTCTGCTCTTATTCTTCCCGGGATAGGAGTGCCACGAGGTGTGAGGGCGTCCCACTAGTACCACAAGATGTGAGGGTGCTTCACTAGTACCACGAGATGTGAGGGCGGTCCGCCAGTACCACTGAGGTGTGAGGGCGGTCCACCACCAACTGAGTGTCCCGCGCCGGGCTCGCTATATCTGCTTATTCTATCGTCTAGCAGCCACTTTGTGTAAACAATCTCGATTGTAGAAGCTAACCTCTCTTATGTGACAGTCATTGTCTCTGTTAATGCCACTTTACCCCTATACTCTATATCGTCTTATCTTTATTCCTTTATTGTATTTATTCCCAGAATATGATTTTTTTTCGGGTATGATAACTTATTTCAAGTAGAAGCCAGAATTTATTAGATTGTCTTTCTGGTAAGAACGCACCTCTTTGGATAATGAATTTCCTTTTTACTATCACTGTATTTGTCGTTCTATATAATGGGTAATTTCTTATGTTTCTCCCCTGTATCACATCATTTTGTAATATTGGGGTTTCTTTTGTTTTATAGTAAAGCTAATTTTTTTTTTATTCGAGTTAAGTTTTTCATAAAGAGTCAAGTTCTCCGTGTGCGGTAACTCAACAAACACACTACTGTATATACTGGCTTCTGGGCATTATTTTGTATTCTTTCTTTCTTTCTTTCTTTCTTTCTTTCCAGTCATTTCTGAGTCCCAATATTTCCGTGATATACCACTATCCCAACAACCTTGCCAAGACCTTAAGAGATAAGGGTAATACCCTATAACAATACAGTGTAGCATAGAACAACATGCTGACTCTGTATATAAACACAATGTTTTTAAGGTTGTGTAGGATTTGGTATCCTTAAACTATCTTTTAATATTCCAAGTCGACCACTTCCATAGAAATTTTATAACTTATAGAATTTGTTCACGAGGTCGTAATATAAACACGGTTGGATCATTGCATACTTTGTGTGGCTGGATTTGACCAAAACATTATTATTATTATTATTATTATTATTATTATTATTATTATTATTATTAATTACTATTGTTATTATAATTATAATTATTCTTTGTATTTCCATCATTCCTATTATAATAACAATTATTGTTATTGTTATTAACGTTAAACAATTATCATTTTATCACAATAACTAGAGCAGTAGGCTTCATTATCTGCGCCACATTGTCACAGGACACTCTCATGTGTTTCATTATGTGCGCCACACTGTCACGGGACACGCTCATGTGTTTCATTATGTGCGCCACACTATCACGGGACACGCTCATGTGTTTCATTATGTCCGCCACACTGTCATGGGAATCGCTCATGTGTTTCATTATGTGCGCCACACTGTCACGGGGCACGCTCATGTGTTTCATTATGTGCGCCACACTGTCACGGGACACGCTCATGTGTTTCATTATGTGCGCCACACTGTCACGGGACACGCTCATGTGGGAAACATCTGTCAACCCTTTGATTAATTTAATAAGTCTAGAATGAGAAAATTTTATTGACGTATTTTATCAATTATCTGTCTGTTCATTTAATTTTCCAACGTTATTATTTTGGAGAAGATACTTTACACACGAGTTTATATAATCAGAAGATAGGTGTTTTAAGGTGCTGATGAGGAAGTGTCATATCATATATGATTATTATAATATGCTGTAGTGCATATACATGAATATATGAATATATTACAAGGTAAATATAAACGAGAAAACAAGAAATTATTCATAGAGAAAATGTAGATCAAAGACAATTATAATGATGTTTCTTATTATCACGAATTTACACTGTAAAAGAAAAGTAGTATAAGAAGAGAGTAAAGAGGAGAGTAACCAAAATAAGGTGTTCGGAACCCTCAGCCTCATCTCACACCTTCATTAAGTTGACACGAACATGTTTTGGCTGAAGTATTAATGTCGGTCAAGTAAATATTGTGGGAAGGGGTGTCAGAAAACCTGGTGTAAACTGAGCAAGATGGAGAGAATTTCGAATCACAAACCCAAGAGGAAAAAGAGAGTAACAAAAATAAAATTTAGATTAAGATTCACAAACACGAGAGGAGAAAGAGAGTAATAAAAGTAAGACATCGAATCACAAACATGAGTGGGGAGAGTAACAAAAGTAAGACATAGAGTCACAAACACGAGAGGAGGGAATAACAAAAGTAAAACTTAGACTAAGAATCACAAACACGAGAGGAGAAAGAGAGTAACAAAAGTAAGACATAGAATCACAAACGCGAGAGGAGAATGGGAATAACAAAAGTAAAACTTAGACTATGAATCAAGATCAGACCTTGTTAATCTATTCAGAAAGAAATGCAAAATAAAATACAACATGCGGAACTACAAGCCATAACAAAATTACAGGAACTTATCTATAAAAAGCATCACAAATTCACCAGGTGGGAAGGTTGAAGCGAGGGACAACATATCCTGGTGCCCAGAATGAAAGTCCTGACCGTTGTAAAACACTAAACTATTAATTAGCCTCCCGAGGCTGGAGATAAACCCATATAATGCGTCAAGACTAAAACTCTCTTGAAGTCAATAAAGCGAGTCGGAATAGTGCGTGAGAGGTGTACAATGGGGACATAATCAGGGCGATACCATCAGATGAAGCACCATTGTGTCTATTATGTGATCATGGTGAGGGAGACCCCAGGCAAGACCTGTTCTCAACACCAACAAAAACAGCATAAAAAAAAAGAGAGAGAGAAGAATGATGGCCTCATATTCGGTGACAGAGACAGAAGCAACGATAAATCTATTACATGAAGATGGACGACAGAGACAGCATCAGTAAAAGGTTCTTGCTTTTATTAACACGAATGACGAACACATTGAAGCCAAACAAAATACTTGCCTGAAAAGATTCATGTGTATAAAAAGTAAACACATATAATCGAATAAAATAAAAGAAATGGCAGATAAAATCCCCAAACGTATTATGACGTCGAAAATACAATCATAAGAAATCAGTTTTCATGCTTCTAAAAATCATGAATATGACTAAGTCAAAAGTGTGTATATATATATATATATATATATATATATATATATATATATATATATATATATATATATATATATATATATATATATATATATATATATATATATGTAACCGGTCGGAATTTACTGGACTTTAATTTCTCACTTGACTTGGGTTTTATTAAAGATTATTAGATGGTAATGGCAGTGGAAGCGCCCCTTAGTGAGAAATCCCGAACCAGCACAAGAGCACTTAACTTTACTAAAAATGAATTGTCCGTGACCCGTGGAAGGATAGCGTCTGTGACTGGGATGAATGAGACACACTGTAAAATTTACACTTATATTCCCTCCAACACTACAAACACAATCAAATAATGGTACACCAATATGCGCACTTCTTAACCTGAACTTAAAATACTACTCTGGGGAATAAAAGTTATACATGATCTTGAAATTATTAGAACCTCAGGCAATGCCTCATTAGAGGATAATAAGTTTAAAATATTAAGAAATGTTGCTTGCACACATGAACCAGGCCTTAAGGGCTTTCAACAAAATATCAATCACTGAGAAAATGGTATTAAAAAAATAAGAAATTAATAACTCTACAATGAATAGGCCTTAAGGGCACTCACCAAAATTATATCCAGCACTGAGAAAATGGTATAAAAATCAGAGCATATTAACTCCACCCTGAGTAGGCCTTCAGGGCGCTCAACAAAATTATATTACCCCAACAGATAGACACCTCCTAACCTAACTTAAACACTACTCTGGGGAACAAAGGTTATACCTGAGATTGAGATTATAAAGAAATATTAAATGCACACAGCATACATTAGTAACTGAAAAAATAGTATTAACTACACACAAAACTATTGTCACTATTATTAAGAAGTTACCGAGTCCACCAATACCAGTGAACCATGCTTCCTAACCTAACACACACACAGATTCCACCTGCACTCCGTAGTCGTTTAAGGCACAACCAACCGGCACCCGTAGTTTAAGGCCCAAATCAGCCTTTCTCCACCTTGAAAAGTGTACCTCTAAACTCCACTGACTCTTGGCCCCAGTGTGTGGCTCTGTATCACTCAGCTGGCTTCACTTTACCCCCAGTACATCCATGAAGCGGAAGGGAGTGAGCCGATCAGACCTTGTACAGTTGAGAGAAGCTTTAGCTTCCCGTTAATAAAAGGTTTTCACTAAGCTGCTTGAAGATATGTGGTATTGTGAGCCGAGGTAGAGGAGAGTTGATGACCCCAAACGATCGTCACGTCGTTAGTTGGGCACCTAGACAGCTGGGTTCACTCCAACTCTCACCATACTCAACAGGTGGCTCAAACCCAGGTCAGTGGACGGTCATACAGCTCGCTTCACCACTTGTGTCTCATACCGCCAGTGGACGTTATCCTACCGCGTGGGGTCTACAGAACCCTGAAAAACCCGGGCTGCTAGCTATTGTCTCACATCACCGTTTGTTCCTACCCCCTATCAAGCTTTGTCTGAGATTGAATAAAACTTACTTGTTAATACTGATGTTAAATAAACGAAGGAACCAGGTCACGCGATCCGTCTCTCCTGGGTACAGCACAGAGGTGGTCCTTGACCTCTCTCACCGCTCCCCAGCCACGCTTGCTCACTGGTTCACGCTTTCCAGGAGTGACTTATTTACCAGACGATTAACAGCTTAATTAGGACGTACGCAACATTTTCAGACTGGGAAACGATCTATAATTATTTTCAATTTAATAACTGATATTTAATTTCATGATTCGCGTCCCTATTAACTCGGTAAATTACATTTAATATCGTATAGGCCTAGTTCCACAAACTCTCGCTACGTGCGGGAGCGCGGTCTTCCCTCAGACGACCTTGAACTCAGCATCGCCAATGGCGCGGCGTTTGAAATTACACTGAAATTTCTGAATATTACATAATATATATATATATATATATATATATATATATATATATATATATATATATATATATATATATATATATATATATATATATATATATATATATATATATATATATATATATATATATATATATGTACAGGGTGATTTAGCAAAGAGTACATTAAATTGGAGGATGAAATCCTTGGATATTTCAAAACCACAATGTCTCTATGGTAAAATGTCAGATTCTGTATAGTTTTCATGTTACAATACCTCTAAGATGTTGTAATAATGAGAGTGAATTTGACGTGAAACCCAAGTTGGTTTTTATAATAATTTATTCACAGATCTCTACAATGTGACCCCTCTCTGTCACAACCTAAAAGAAATGTTCAAATTTGACCCCTTTTGCTTCAATGCAGGCCTGTACACGTCGTACCATTGATAATTATCTGACGAGTTCCAGAATGCCTGGATTATGTTTAATTTGCTCGCACCTGTCACGAACACGTGGGCATATACAGAATCTGACATTTTACCATAGAGACATAGAAACCTTCCATATCAAGATAGATTAAAGATACTAACTTGTATTCCCCAGAAAGACGAAGAGTGCGGGGAGATATGATAGACGTATTTAAGTAGCTGAAAGGAATCAATAAAGGAGATATAGATAAAGTTCTTATAATATCTGAGCAGGATAAGACTCGAAGCAACGGATTGAATTAAGTTGGATAAGTTTAGTTTTAGGAGGGGGATAGGAAGGAACTGGTTCACAAATAGGGTGGTAAACGAGTGGAACAAGCTTAGCAACTTTGTAGTAAGTGCTGGAAAGCTGGAAAGTTTCAAAAGGAGGCTAGATAGATTCATTGATCTACCATGCACAGGCAACCTGGCCAATTGCAGACTCCTTTTCTTATATGTTCTTAGTTCTTATATATATATATATATATATATATATATATATATATATATATATATATATATATATATATATATATATATATATATATATATATATATATATATATGTATGCAAGTAAATCACTGTAGGATGCAAGCTTTCGTGTAATTCACATCTTCAGGGGTGAGTACAGACTAGTCTGTACTCACCCCTGAAGATGTGAATTACACGAAACCGCTTGGGAACTTCGTGTTTTCTTCTTTCCTTGTGGTTATCAGCATATATATATATATATATATATATATATATATATATATATATATATATATATATATATATATATATATATATATATATATATATATATATATATATATATATATATATAGCTTGATAAAATCACACAGGGAAAAGGGAAACAATGGAGCACCTTAGCTTTCGTCTTTATTCAAGACATCTTCAGAGGCAACTAAATTACAAAGACTGAAAGGGAGCTTATGTACACAAGGTGACCTTACAAAACATGAGGTCAGGTCAAAAAACATGACATCCACTAAGCCACACACCAACCGCCACAGCAAACATAAGAAAAGCTTATAAGAACGGGCGACATAACTAGTCATGTCAAGTCAGGT